TTGCATGACAAAGATGAATCAATAGAATTCATGACAATTTAAGCCATGGTCCAGTAGTGGCCCTGCTTCACTCTCTGGGCAGGAATCTTACAAAGGGAGGCTGAGTTGGTAACAATTTCAATATGAAGGTTGGTGGCATCAAAAAGGACAGGAACAGTCTTGTTAGAATTCAAGGAACCGACTCTCTGGTAATTTTCGCTGGCGTCATCATCTACCCCGTCTGCCCACACCATCCCCTTCTCCCATTTTTTCCCCCTGTTCACCCAAATGAGCTGTCAAGAACTGATGGGCGCCTTGGTAATCAAAGAAAACAAGCTTGCCCTTTAAAGCAAAAGAGGCAATTTGGCTGAAAGCAAATTGGAAGCATTCCCCGTGGCTCTGAGTTCCCAGCCTCTGTCTCCCGGGGAATTCTGGGAGTTTTGATTGATGCCCGGAGAACTCCGAGGACAACGTGGAAAAGTGCACTGTCCATCTGTCCGTCCAACACTTCCTTCCTTTGTCCTATGGCCTCGGGGCAGGGACCCTTCATCTGAGGGGCTGGGGAGAGGCACCGCAGTTTCCCAGAATACACTTTATTGTCAAGAAAAGGCCTCTAGGGAGCTCATTAAGGGATGGGAGAGCAAGAAGAGGGAGAGAGCGAGCCCCAGGGAAGCAAGATGGCGCCACCTCGGGCTAGGTCTTCAGCCTCTAAGAAGGTCTGGCTCTGGGTGAGTTTTGCTTGACCAAGGAGCCTCCCATCCTTCACAACAGACCTGGCGCCTCCCTCCTCTGTCCTGTAGACAGATACTTACCCGATTGCATTGCCGTCTGCGGTCTGATGAACTAGAGATAGTCTCCTGCCGTCTGCGGTCTGATGAACTAGAGATAGTCTCCTGTGGCTTCGCACCTCGCCTTATCCTCCATCTCCATCATCATCAGCGCCTAGGCTCTTCGATTGCATTCCTGATCAGCCGAGCCTCTCTCATGGCAAACAACAGAAACAAATGGCGGCTGGGTGCAGCAACGAAAGCAAGGAGCGGGAAGCTTAGCATTCCCTAACCCTGCGGCTTCCCTTTACCCAGAGTCCCTGCTCCCCGGAGACAGAGGACAGGACTATTTGACGGACAGTTCCACCAAGACTGCAGTGTCATTCAGCTTTCTCACCATGACAAAGCCCTGAAGTGAATGACTTGTAAGGAAGAAAGGCTGGTCTTCTCTGTTTGGGGGCTGTGGTGGGGCTGTGCATCACATCCTGGCAGACCCTGTGAGAGGGGAGCTGGCTTAGCCGGGCAGTAGTGGCGCAGGCCTTTAATCCCAGCACTTGGGAGGCAGAGGCAGGGGATTTCTGAGTTCGAGGCCAGCCTGGTCTACAGAGTGAGTTCCAGGACAGCCAGGGCTATACAGAGAAACCCTGTCTCGAAAAACCAAAGAGAGAGAGAGAGAGAGAGAGAGAGAGAGAGAGAGAGAGAGAGAGATATTGAGAGAGAGGGAGAGAGAGAAGGATATAGAGACAGGTGTGAGTGTCCCTGCAAAGGCACACCCACAATGACCCAAGAACCATGAACCAGCCAAGTGTGGTCCAAGTGTGGTATTGTTACCAGCATCTTTCAATCCCAAAACTCAAGAGGCAGATGGAGAGGCAGGTGGATCTTTGTGAGTTCAAGGCCAGCCAAGGCTACACAGTAAGACTCAGTCCCCACACTCACTCATCCCCCCAAAAGGAAATCCCCACCAGACCCCTCTTCTTAAAGAAACGTCCCACCACCCCTGCATAGCTCCGAGGGCTGGGAACCCATGCTTTAACATACTTGTGGATTTTCCATGAACCACAAGTGCCTATGACAGAGAGAGGCTGCTGCTGGAGGGAAACCTGGGTGCCTTCACACAGATCTCCACAGAGATGTCAGTGCCACTGTCCTCTCCAGTGCTGGCAGCTAAGACCTTAAGGAGTCCAAGGTCCAAATCTGAGGTTGAGGAGCCTGAGGTCTGAGAGCGAGTCCTCTGCCCACCCCCTCCAAATACTGTCTCCAGTCTTCCTCAAGTCATAGAAGTGTATAACACACCCTGATGAGCCCCTGCTGGTGTTGGCAGATCCTGCTTCTTCGGAGAAGGGAAAGAGAGTACACAGTTAATCAGGTCCGCGTGGGGACGTCAGAGCCAGTCAGCAGGGCAAGGGGCCCGAAGAAGGGGCAGGCTGAGCATAGTGGTAGGTACTCGGCTGTGGCTGGCATTCATACAGGACACCATGATGTTCCAGGCTCACACTTCAGTTTCCCTGGGCCTATGATGCAATATTAGCTGTTTCTTGAAGACACATCATGTCTGAGCCTTCTGTCCATCCCGTTGAACTCAAGGAGTCTTACCTTACAGTAAAGGGAGCCCAGGCCCCCTAGAAGTAACCAGACCTAGGTCCCCCAGCAAGGACTGGGATCCAGCCACTGTGCTACCAAAGCCACAGAAATTGTTTTAAGTCTTTCCTTTAGGGTCAGGGTTCCTCTGTATAGTCCTGGCTATCTGGAACTCACTCTGCAGATCAAGGTGGCCTCAAACTCAGGGACCTAGCTGCCTGCATTTCCCTCCTGAGTGCTAGGATTAAAGGTGTGTGCCCCTATGCCGGACATGCCAAAGCCTTATTGATTTCTGATGTCACCATTGAGTTCAAGACAAACCTTTTACTTTGTAACAATTGAAGATAATACAGACTCTCTGTATCCTTCTCTGGCTTTAGCTGATGTGACTTTATAGGTCAGAAGTAAGAAAGTAACATTGCTAGCCCGGGTAACCACTGACGACACACTTCCATACTCCTCAGGCTTTGGGGATGGAGGCAGGAGTTTAAGGGCATCACCTGCTACACAGCAAGTCCCGGGCCAGCCTGGGCTACAGGAGACTCTGTCTCAAACAAAGAAACAAATATGTAAGTCACTATGGATACAGTTCTGTTAGCCAAACCTTGGATATAGTGACATCCCAGGTGTTACCCTGATGCCCTTTCTGTTTCAGAATAGAATCCACACAGCAGTTCTCAACCTTCCTAACACCTCAACCCTTTAACACAGTTCCTCATGTGGTGGTGACCCCCAGCCATAAAATTATTTCTTTTTTTGTTTTTTTTTTTTTGTTTTGTTTTTTTGAGACAGGTTTTCTCTGTGTAGCCCTGGCTGTCCTGGAACTTATTCTGTAGACCAGGCTAGCCTCAAACTCAGAAATCCGCCTGCCTCTGCCTCCCAAGTGCTGGGATTAAAGGCATGTGCCACCACCACCTGGCTAGATTATTTCATTGCTACCTCTGTAATGTAAATATTTTGATATGCAATATATCATGCAGGAGGGGGTCTTGACCCAAGTGCTGAGAACCTCTAGTTCAGGACTTGATTTGATTTTCAGGAAAATGGGACTAGCATCCTTCCTCCTCCTCCCTCCCTCTTTGTCTTTCCTTCCAAGTGTTGGCATTACTGGTCTGCCCCACCACACCTGGTGAATTGTTTGTTTGTTTGAGACAGAGTTTCTCAATGTCACACTAGCTGTCCTAGAAGTCACTCTGTAGACCAGGCTAGCCTGGAATTCAAGAGATCCGCCCGTCTCTGTCTCCCAAGTGCTGGGATCAAAGGTGTGTGCCACCACTGCCTGGCTTAACTTTCTTTCTTTCTTTCTTTCTTTCTTTCTTTCTTTCTTTCTTTCTTTCTTTACTTACTTTTGGAATTTTGAAAATATACTTAGGCAGGCCTTGAACTCTTGGTCATCACCCTGCCTGAGCCTCCTGGGTGCTGGTCTTACCAGCTACCACATCCCCGGAAACGTTCTGTGCACTGTACTTGGAAGCTATTGTTACCACTCCGCTCTGGTTTTCAAATCAATACCCAAGTATCGCCTGGCGGGGATCAGGGGTGATGGCTGCCTTGGGAAGGTGCCTGCCACTCAAGCTTGATGAGCTGACCTCCATCCCCAGAACTCACAGAAAAAGCCAAGGACATTGACCAGAGTTTGTAATCTCAGCCTTGGGGAGGTGGGCCCACAGGCTTGCTGGCACCCAGCTTACCTGAGCGGGTACGGGTCAGATTTAGTGAGAGACCCTGTCTCAAAAACTAAGGAGGAGGTGAATGAGGAAAGACACCTGATAGTGACATCTGGCCTGCATCTGGACACATAGTATGTAGGCACACACATGTACATATGCACACACACATGTGCACACTGCACACACCGGATCATAGACACTCCTGGCGTGTGCTGGAGCACAGTCACCCACTCGGCTTGACCTTGTCCCACTGTCAGCTGCGACCTGTTCAGCTCTGTCCTGTGTCCTGTCCTATCGCATTCTACTCTGTGACCTGTCCTACTGTGTCCGCGTCTGCCCCTATTCTGTGGTCCATCCTGCTCTGTGCTGTCCTAATCTACGGCACGTCCTGCTCCTTGTCCCAGCCTCCTCTGCATCCTGGGCTGCATTATCACCCAGGCTCTTGAGTTGGTTTCCTGCTGGTTTAGGGTCAACATGGAGAGGAAATGCGAGTCCGGGTAAGGTGCATTTCTGCTCTCTGGTTGGTCACTCCTTCCAAGCCACAGCTTAAACCCCTCTGGAGTCTGCTGGCCTTGGTGTGCCCTACACATGTGTGGCTTCCTGCTGCTGACATTGCTGGGTGACCTCATCGGCCTGTAGCTGCTCTCTCAATGTTTCTACCTCTTGGGTAACCCCCATATGTTGGTCCTCAGAACAGTGGCTGCTTCTCGCCTGATAAACGTGCCTGGGACTCACCTCCACCCTCAGGCCTGCTTCCCTGCTGGCTCAAGTAAGATCATGAAGCTAAAAGATAAGCCCGACAGGGTGGTTATACGCCTATAATCGTAGCCCTCAGATTGGGAGGAAGGGACAGCCTAGGCTATATTTTTTGAGAGACCACATCTGAAAAGCAAAGCAAACCAAACCAAACCACAGAGACAAAAGAGCTAAAAGCAGCTTTGAGTACAGTGGTCATCATGGCCAGTGGTGTTATGTACCTAACAGCCACGCCTTCCTTTTGCAGGACTACTGGAGACTGTGAACTCCAGGAGAGCCTTGAGTTGGCTGCCACCTGAGGGCCAGGTTCTACAGAGGCAAAGGCTCCAGAGATGACCTTGGACCTCTTAAGCATACCCCCTTCCTACCCCAGACTGGCCATCCAGAGAATCCCACTGAGGACCGGTATAGTCCCGGCCGAGCCGATGAAGACCTTAGCTCCATCCAAATCCAAGCTGAACACGATTGAGGCCAAAAGGATCATGTCAGTCCTGGACGAGGCCATATACAAGGTAGAGCTGATAACCCTGATGTCCTACATGGAGTCCCACCCAGAGGTTCTGGAGGACATGCTGCCCAAGGACTTTGCGAGAGCCATAAGAGAGCATTTGGACATTGGCCAAACCCTGGTGGAGCGGGCCAGCATCCTGCAGAGGAAACAGAAACACCTGGAAGAAGAGGAAGAGCCCGAGGAAGCCTGGAGCCGGGAGCGCCTCATGTCCATAGAGCTACACAAGACCAGCCTGTGGCCACTGACACACCAGTTCCGAGACTCCACCAAGACTGTCCTGAGGCTCCTGCTCAGCGAGCCCCAGCTCACCAGGCAGCTACAGACACAGGCACCGGGCAGGAGCCCAGGGGCCCAGTGCCTCCTCGACGGCCTGGTGGAGCTCCGAGGTTTCCTCTTCGAGAAGCTCCTCACCAGCCCCATGGAAGTAAGGGAGAAGAACCAGTTCATACAGGACATCAGCCGGAGGAGCGAGAGGAACCAGGAGGTCATCGATGGCCTCCAGGCGGAGCTGGCCGACGTGCTGAAGAACAAGGAGTCAGAGGTATACCTCCCCCAAGTTAGGGAAGAAACCGCATCCGAGCAGGCCAACCCGTGGGGACTTGGGCTTTTCCCTCATGGGTTCCAATAGCTCTTTCCCTTCATTTATTCCTCAGAGACTGTTCTGAGCATTTTACTAGAAGGTATGGCTGTAGGTGCAACCTCCAGAGCTCAGTGAAGGACAAGGACAGGGTGCTATCAAGGGATGACACAAGAGACCTGAACTCTGGTCAGAAGGACAGGGACAGTGTCACTAAGACAAGGAGGATACAGAAAGCGGGGGTGTGAGCCAGACAAGCGAAGAAGACCTTCCCAGCCAGGGGTTGGCAAAGTGTCTGTGTCACCAGCTAAGTGGGTCCTTTGTCTCAGGTAGAATAGACACCAGACATGTGGGGGAGGAGTTGAAGAGATGGCTCCAAGGTTAAAAGTGCATACTTTGTCTGTTTGAGACAGGGTCTCACTATACGGCCTTTACTGGCCTGGAATGCCATAGACCAGGCTGGCCTGGAACTCCCAGAGTTCTACACCTGGTGGTGCCTCCCAAGTGTTGGGATTAAAGGCGTGTACCACCACATCCGATACACGTTACTCTTACAGAGTAACAGGTCAATTCCCAGCCCCTATGTCCAGCAGCTTGCAAATACCTGTAACTCCAGCTCCCTGGGATCTCATGCCCTCTTCTGGACACCACAGGCACCTGCATTCACGTGCACACGGCTGGGAATGGCTCAGTGAAGACAAAGCCCTCTGTGCAAGCCAGGAGACCTGGGTGTGAGCTCCAGAGCCACTCTTTTTTTTTTTTTTTAAACTGGCATGGTGGGTGGTGGTGTACCTCTGTCATCTGAGCACTGGGCAGGCAGGGACAAGAGGACCCCTGGGAGTCAGTGGCCCACCAGCCTAGCACAGCCAACAAGCTCCAGGCCAAAGAGAGAGGTAGATGACAGTTGAGGCTATACACACAAGCACACACATGCACACACATGCACACACACAGGCCACTCTATAGCTGTGAACACAGAGCCATGTTTCATCTTACAGAAGGATTTGAATATTTGAACATCCCAAGCTTCCGCAGGCAGCTTCAAGTGCACCTGTACGTGCGTTTCAACCGGCCCCATCCCCCACCCAGATTTTGCTAGTTAGCGTATTATAACAGAGTCTCAGATCTGTTGCATCTTGGTGGCTGCGAGTCCTCCGTGGCTACCATCTTCCTGCATGTTTGACACAGGTGAGCAGCAGCAGCGGGCTTTCTTTCTGGCTCTGTACCCCATCTCCAGAGGGTCACACGTTCCACACGCTGGGCTCAGTGGGCTAACGGTCTCAACATGCCTCTGCCATTACTGTGGAAGCAGCCATAGACAATACCAGGGCTAAAGGGCTGTGTCCTAGTAATACTTTATTGACAGATATGTCTGGCTGGATTTGGCCTGTAGGCCTTAGTTGGCCAACCCCTTTCCTAGGGGAGGGGAGCATGTGGTCCCAGACCTGACTGAGCTAAGCATTAGCCTAGCTGGTTTGGAACCTTGGTGGGGGGGCACAGCCAAAGGCCAGCTGCCCTGTGATTGTGGGGGACTCTGTGGCTATTAATTTATCATCATTCGTCCCCGGCCTAGGTGGAGAAGGAGAACTATGTGATCCAGGAACTAAAGAACCATCTGCACCAGGTGTTCAAGTTTTCGGAGAACAGCCTCCTCCGCACGAAGCAGGAGGCGGAGAAGCAGCAGAAGGTGGATTACCGGGCCTCCCAGGCCAGGCTGGCCAAGACGCAGCAAGACATCCTGGCGCTTCGCGCACAGTACCACAACCTGGTCATGGAGAACCGGGAGGCAGAACAGGCGCTGAGGAAGGTACCTTGAGGTCTCAAGGGTACAGTGGGGGGCAGGGCCGGCCCAGGGTTGCAGAAGCCCAAGGTAGGTGGTATCTCCTGGGAGGCGGGAGGGGGAAACATCCAAGCCAGCGTTGGGAGCAAGGAGGACAAATCGCTATCCCAGAATTAGGGCAATAAAGCTCAGTGACCTCCAAAAAGTTCCTCGACTCCCCTGAGCCCAAAGGATGATGACCTCTACTTGAAGTAGTTCGTGATTTGAGGGACAGTCCCTGGAGGGTCACGGGGCTCCGAAGCCAGCCTGCCTTCAGTGCCCACACTGAGAACAGCTCTGTGGAATCTAAGAGCTCCTTTTGTTTTCTGAAAGACAAGGTGGAGCTGGGAGGACGGCTCAGTGGATAGAGGCACTCGCGGTCAAGCCCGATGCCCTGAGTTCAACCCCCAGGGCCCATACAGCAGGAGCGAACCAGTTCCTGAAAGTTGTCCTCTGCCCTCTGGCCACAACCCATTATTGCTTTTGTGCATGCTTGCACACACACACACACACACATGCACACACGCATACACGCATACCCCAATGAAAAGTCCGTGTCGGTCATTGTACCCCAAGGAAGACATCCACATAAAATGCAAATATCCATTTAAAAGCAGCCTACTCAGTCAGTGTTTATCTACAGTTCCTGCAGCCTGTCTAGTTCCAAACTATTTCATTACCTCAAAACATAGCGGGGGGGGGGGCCCGGGGGGAGGGGAGAGGGGAGACGCAGTAAGAGAGCCTGTAACAGAGCCTGCTGCCAAGCCTGATGACCTGACTCTGACCCCTGGGACCCACGTGGTGGCAGGAGACACCCAACTCCTGCAGGCTGTCCTCTGACCGCCATAGATGCCTGGTGACACATACCCACTTACCTCCCACACACGAAATAATTAAATGTAATTAAATATTTTTTAATTTAAAATTTAAAAAAATTTAAAAATTTAAAACTGTAACTGCCAGCAGGCAGGGAGCTCCTCCCCTCCTCCCCTCTTCTCCTCTTCCCCGCCCTGGCAGCTGCTCACCCTCCGTTACGGCGGGTCCTGTGACTGGGGTCTGCTTTCTGCTCTGGCTTCTCCCTCGCCACCATCTCCAAGGCCGTGTCTTTGCTCCACTCATGTCTGTGGCCGCATCACATTCCGTTTGATATATGGGGGGTGATGGTGGAAGAGTTTCTTATTTACTGAGACAGTCTCGCTGTGTAGCTCTGGCTGTCCTGGAACTTGCTATGTAGCCCAGGCTGGCCTAGAACTCAGAGATCCACCTGTCTCTAGGTGCTGGGCCTGGCCCAAGTGTTTTCTTCTCCTTTCAATTTTATGTATGCGGTTGTATTGCCTATGTGTATGTCTGTTTACTGCATACATGCACTGCCATAAGAGGCCCAGAATAGGATGCTGGGTTGTTTGGAACTGGAGTTACCAAGGGTTGTGAGCTACCATGTGGTAGCTGGGAATTGAACCTAGGTCTTCTGGGAGAGAAACTAGTGCTCTTAACAGCCATCTCTCTAGCCCCACATGTTTTTCTAATTTAATTTGTAAGTACTGGAGATCATGCTAGGCAGAGGTTTTGAGCTCCACCTCCAGCCTGGAGCTAACCCTTTAAAAATTATTATTGTGTGTGTGCATGTTGTGTTTGTGTGTGTGTGTACCTGTGTACATACATACAGATACCACAGTGCCTGTGTGGAGATCGGAGAACTCCGTTATCAGCTCCCTGCTGCCCCCTTGTGGCGTCAGAGAATTAAATTCAAGTCCTAAGTGCCTCTACCTACCTACTGAGCCAACTTAACAGGCCCTGGACTTTTTTGTTTTAAGAAAAAATACAAAGTGGAGACAGAAATCGAGAACTGGATCCAAAAATATGACATGGAGATGAGCGAGAAGCAGGTAGGTGTCAGGGGTTCCTCCTGAGGGCTTGGGAGGGTTGGGGAGGTCGGGCAGGAGCTGCTCAAGGTGGCCTAAGCATGAGCCTCCCCTAGAGACCCTTTGCCTGGAGGAGCATGTCCAGATGTGTGTGGGGTGTGTGTGTGTGTGTGTGTGTGTGTGTGTGTGTGTGTGTGTAGGGTGCAGGGTGCAGGGTGGGAAGAGAGGAAAATCGAAAACTGCTGAAATCCAGATTCATCCTGAAGCACGTGGCTCGGCCTAATAGCCACCTCCCGTGGTCCTCTCCTCCAGCCCGGCTCAGCTCCCGCCTGCTCTCAGCTCACAGGCGAGCCCCCCTCCCCACGTCTGTCACTCTGCACCCAAAAGGTCCAGGTGCCAGGCTCCAGGATAAGGCAGGGAATCGAGACAGTCCTCACTCTCGTCTGAAGGTTTCAAACTGGCGTGGCTCCTGAGCTGTGCCCTCTGCTGTATCTGTAGATGCAGGTGGAAGGGAGCGATAGAGAGAAGGAGGAAGGAGGGGGACAGAGTAGCTGGGAATAAGAGAGGAAAGAGAGGAAAAAGATGAGGAAGAGGAGGAGGAGGAGGAGGAGGAGGAGGAGGAGGAGGAGGAGGAGGAGGAGGAGGAGGAGGAGATAGGAGATAGGAGGAGGGAGAGAGACCAAGAAGAAGATACGTTTCAAGGGCCCGCCCCACTCCCCCTCCATGAACTACTTCCTCCCGGAAGGGCCCTCCTCCTGTGTGTTCAGTAATCCATGTATCCACTGGGTAACCCACGGATGAAGTCGGAGCTTTCACGATTCAGTCACTACTCAACAGCGCCACCTAGCGGGTACCAGGCCTCCAACCCAGGTGTCTGTGAGGGGCCCTTTAAAGGTCTCTTGGTCCCAGAAACTGGCCCCTGGTGTTTGGAATTGTCCCAGTGTTTCAAATGAGGAAAGGCAGAAGCTTAAAGGGGAATCTCCTAAAGGTGAAGAGAGGCTAGACTTCAAAACTAGGACCAACAGCTGGGGCGTGCAAACTCAGTAGGATGTCTGTCACGCAAACGTGAGGACCTGAGTTCGCATCCCCTGCACCCGTGTAAGAAGTGGAGGTGGCAGTGTGCACCTGGAATCACAGTGCTGGAGAGGCAGCAGCAGGCTGATCCTGGGAGTTTGTTGTCCAGCTAGCTCAGCCACATCAGCAAGCCCCAGGTTCAGTGTGAGAGCCTGCCTCAGAAAGTAGGGTGGTGAGACCGAGGAGGACACCTGACCTTGACCGGAAGCCTTCACCTATATTCACACACACACACACATACAGTATTCATTCACATGTGCATTTACACAAGAACAGAAGCACAACTCACAACCTTTGTTCGTCCCTCCATTCCGAGATCCGCTCAGTCGGGTCTTTCCTGGAGCGAGCCCAGCTATAAATATATAGAGAGACAGGCTCTGCATCCTACCTGGCTGCGCTGCACGCCGGGTGCATGGGGAACAGGGAGGCCGTGGCAGGTGCTGCGCGCCTCCAGCCATGCCCCTCGCCTAGGACGAATACGAGGACCTGGAGAGCATCCACAAGGAGGAGAAGATGCAGCTGGAGGAGCTGAAGGAGAGGCATGCGGTGCTGGTGGAGGAGTTCTCCCAGATCCGCGCCGAGAGCGAGATCAATTCCAAGAAGCGGGTGGAGGCGGAGCGCGAGATGGTGCGCATGGTGAGAGCCGCCACGCTCATCCAGGCCGTGTGGAAGGGCTACCTGGTGCGCTCCATGCTCAGGTCCAAGAAGAAGAAGCGGGGCAAGGGCAAGGGCAAAGACAAGGGCAAGGGCAAGGGCAAGGAGAAGCCCAAGGAAGAGAAGGGCAAGGAGAAGAAACCCAAGGCCAAAGGCAAGAAGAAGTGACCGCTGCCTGGTCTGGCCCCGCCCCTGCCCAGCTTCAACCACGCCCCACCCAGTCCCAACCATGTCCCCGTTCTGCCCCAGCCCTTCCATCCCTGCCCTTAATGATGGCTAAAATTAAAAACCAACAACAAAACTCATTTTAAACCCTACTCAACGGCTCACCCTTTAACAGACGTGCCTGCTCCAGGCTGAGGCCGTGGGCGGGCGCAACATCCTGAGGAGGGCGCAAACTTGGACCCTATCCTCCTACATCTTCATTGAAAAATGGGGCCCTAGTCTTAGTCCAGAAGCTACGGTGACTGCCATGAGACGTTACCACCAGGTTGCCCTGGCCTGCTGGGGACTGCTTGCCACTCCTGGTATCTGCCCCTTCACTCTGAACTGTCAGGAGGCCAGCGGCAAGGGGAGTTTTGTGTGTTCAGACTGTTCCATGAGTTTTAAAAAATATTAGTTGCTAGAATTTCACGAATTGAGAATTCTCCCATGGAAACTTAACCACCCTCTCTGCAAGGATCTCATCATCCCTGATGTCCCAGTACACGGGCCTTGTGTCAGCCAGCACCCTGCAACTTTATTTCTACGTAGCCCAGAGTGGCCTTGAACTTACGGTGGTGATCCTGCTTCTGATTCCTAAATGCCGAAATTATGAGCACGTGCCACGTCATCCTTCCACTTTGAAACACAAAGGATGGTGCTCACAGGAGGGGAGGCATGCTAGTGGCCCACACCTTGCCTTTAATCCCTCCACTCAGGCAGAGGCAGGCAGATCTTGGTGGTTTTGAGGCTAGTCTGGTTTACAAAGCTAGTTCTAGGACAGCTAGAGTTACATGGGGGGAACCCCGTCTTGCACAAACAGAAAAAGTTTTATTTTATGTGGGCGTGCCTATGGAGGCCACAGCTGGGTTCGTAATTCACCGGGACTGGAGCTAAAGGCGTTGTGAGCCACTTGGGAGGGTGCTGAGATCCTGAACTCAGGCCCTCTGATAGAGCAGTAACCCCCGAGCCACCCCTTCCATTCCTACTTTACTTTTTTCTTAAAATGTGTGTTTGCACGCACCCGCGCATGCACACATACATACATACACACACACACACGCACACATATATATACATATATATATATATACACACACAGACATATATATCACATATGTGCCTGCTGCCTGCAGAGGTCAGAGGGTGCTGGCTCCCCTGGAACTGGAGTTAACAGGCAGTTATGAGCCATCTGATGAGGGTGCCGGGAACCAAACACAGGTCTTCTGGAAGAGCAGTAAGCACTCTTAGCTGCTGGGTCCTCTCTCTGGCCCCTGGGGTCCTCTTTCCAGTCTCCCTTCCTCTGCTTCTTGTGGTTCCTGTTGGGCTGCCCCATTTCCATCACCCCCAACTGTTCTGACACTTAGTGTCAGCCGGACTCCAGGCCTGGCGTCAGCTACCTGGTGGCATCATCACCCTGGGCTTCAGGTAATCTTTAGCGTAGACAGAAGAATGTGTGTTTCTATTTCTAGCCCGTGTCTATCAACATAGGAGGGATGGGACAGAAAAACAAGAGGTAAAACCAACGAATTCTTTGTGAACACTCTAGAGGCTTGGCCATCCTACATGGCTAGGGCACAAAGTGTGTCTGTGCCTGGGCATGACTGTGGCACCTCTGCAGGTGATTATATATGTCTCCAGGCCTGGCTACCCCTAGACAGTGTTGAGATGCCCATTGGGCTCGCCAGAATGCTCAGGGAGGGAGGAGGTAAGGAGAGGCCCAGGGCCCTATGCCCATCATCCAGGGAAGGATGCAGGACCTTGAGTGACGCCTGAGGCCAGGGGCTCCCCTGCAGCGTGCAGGGAGTGAGTGCTATGTACCCAGGAGTCTGTCTCGGCTCATCACTAAGCCCTGTTTTGTTTTGTTGGGGTGGGGGTTGCTGGGGATTGAATCCAGGGCGCCATCCATGTATGCTAGGCAAACACTCTACCATGAGCTATATCCCCGCCTCCTAACAAGACAATTGGAAGCAAAGGCCTCTTACTATGTCCCAAGAACCACCCACCCATGTGTGGAGTCGAAGGATTGAGACAGGCCCTGGGCAGATAAATCATTACTTGAGGTCTTCAGACCTTAGTAGCCACTGACATTTCTGTCAGATCTAATCACAGCCTCTGATCACCCACTGTCCTGTCTACCTCCACTGAAATCAACTGAGGCCTTTACTTAAGGGGGAAAAAGTAACACACTACCGGTTTTGGTAATCCAAATACATTTAATACGTGGAATAAATACATGAATATTAAAATAACATCTCCCCATGTTCTACCCCTGGGGTCCATACACAGCCCAGGACACTCCCTTAAGGCCTCCAGACCCCTGTAGAAACTGTAGAATCCTTCACAGGGAGCTGGGTGGAGCTTGGCACTGATGCGAAAGGTGACTGAGACATGGCTAGAGAGACATCTCGAGGACCCCAAATACCCTGCAGAGAAGTCTGGGGACATCCTGAGTTTGTGGGAACTAAGGAAAATATGGCCCATCCTCACCATGGAGCCCCACGGAGGCTTCCCCAGCATTTGGATGCTCTGGGGACCACTGTCTCCAGAGGACCCCACCTGAGTGTGAGTCCTGGCTTTGAGCCAAAGGCTTACCTGGTGAGAATCTCATTTCCAAGGAGGCTTTGGTTTGCGGGGACAGGCCCCTCGCCGAGGGGTAGCTGGCCCTGAAACACTACCTGAGCATGTTTTAGGCATGACCAGGGGACTCTGGACAGTCGCCCCTAATGTGTAAGGCTGGGGACTCCAAGGCCCATTGGTCTGGGGGGCACTGGAAGCTGGAGGACCCATGCTGGGGACAGTTAGGTGGGTGAGTGAATGGGAACGCCTCTGTCCCAGAGAGCGGGGAACAACCACCCCATCCTGGGACAGCTTCTGGGAGCCTGTGGCCACTCTGGGCTCTGTCCCTGAGGGTCCGGCTGGGTGAATGGCTCGCACTGGTGTCTCCCTGGGGCGGGGTGAGTGGCTGCCCCTAGGGGTGGCTGGTGGGGTCCAGAAAAGGGTCCGGAGCTTGGCAGCATCCTCCATAGCCGTCCGAGACCCCGCCTTGCTGACGCCGAACAGTGACTCATCGCAGTAGGACGGGGTGTGACCAATCAACCTGGAAAAGGGCGCAGTGACCTGGGATGACCCCAGGGCAACGACCCCAGAGTTCTCTACAACCGCACTCCCCACCGGAGACTGAAGCAGCAGAGCCTGCCCACAGGCGTCAGCCCAAAGCGGCTTGGGGCTCCTCCCTCCCTCCTCCTGGAGACAGGAGGACATGCTGGGGGAGAGAGAGCAGTGCTAAGAGGGACCCTCACCTGGGGCACCTCATATGACCACCACCATTAAGAGTCCCACTACGCCATTCATTGTTATGGGGAGGGCAGGGGAGGGCAGGGGAGGGCAGGGGAGGGCAGGGGAGGGCAGGGGACATCACTCCGGGCGCCGCTGTGAATATCTATCTGTACACACTCAAGTCTCTTGCCTCAGATGACAGACCTCTTCCTGAATCTGCTTAGCTCCAGATTAATGGAGTGATTAGGTCCATTAAGTGCCTTACAAACAGAAGCAGCAGACACTGTTGTTTGGGGACAAGAAAAACCTCCATAGGAGCGTGGGCCAGCAAGATGGCTGAGTGGGTAAGGGTGCTTGTGGCCAAGACTGCCAGCCTGAGTTTTGATTCCCCAGGATCATCATGGTAGAAGGAAAGAACTGACTCCTACAAGTTGCCCTTTGACCTCTACGCAGTATATAGCCCCCCCCATCCAAAAACCAAATACAAATGTACTTTTTCAAAAAAGAAGTCTATATAAGCTAGCTCAGCAGTGATACAATTTTTTTCTTGAATAATTTTTTCCCAAGAATATCCTTTAAATTTTTTAAAAATTTTATTATTACTATCAGATGTATGGTGTGGATATGCATACATATGCAGACAAAGGCACACAAGTGGAGGTCAGAGGTCAACTCTAGGGGGGGATTGGTTCTCTTCTTCCACCTTTATGAAGGTTCCAGCAATGGTAGGCCACCAGGCTTTCGAGGCGAGGACGCTTACCCACTAAGCCATCTCACCAGCCCGCACCAGCGTTCAGCAAGACCTTCCTAAGCATCGGGTCCTGTGCCTAGGCTGTCCCTCTCTCATTTAACATGGACACTCATCTCACGTGCCATGAGAAAACACAGCTCAGAGAATCACGGCGCCTGGCCGTGGCCACACGGCAGGTCACTAGCACGCTGTCCCGGGAGGCCTGACGGCTACTCTGGTGGTCAGTGTCAACTGTCAACCTGGCAGGATCCGGCATCACCAGGGAGGAGAGCGGCAGAGAGGAATCAGCTAAGTCAGGCTGGCCTGCGGGCACGCACCTTCCTCTTAGGACTAGTGTTTTATGTGCACATGCCTGGGATATCAGAAGAGGGTGTCAGATGCCCTGGGACTGAATGAAAGGACTGAAACAGCAAGCAGGCAATGTGACCAGCCGTCTCCACCCGGCACTGCTGCGACATCTAATAACTAGGGAGAGCGACTCAAACCGTGAGCCAGAATACGGCCTTTCTCTCACCCAGGTTTCTTCTGCCAACATTATTTTTATCATGGCAACCAGGAAAGGAACCAAGACAGCCACCCTCAGTATAGGAGCGCACCACCCACCCCTTACCTGTATTTGTTTTTCTTCCTTGGTGTGAGGTTTGGGGTGGTGCTGCCCCTGGAAGAGGGGGACTCACAGTCTCTCTTGACCAGAGAGACCTTTGGGGGTCCTGGGTCCGCCCCTCTGGATCTATTACAACTCTGCACCCAGGGTGGGTCAAAGTCCGGTAGAGAGGGCCGGGTTCCTGTCGGGCTGCCAAAAAGTGTCTCGTCGACATAGGACGCCCTGGCCTTGACCCTGTAGCTGCTGGGGCTGCGGTGCTGAAGGTGGAGAGCCTGCATTCCTCCGCCCGGCCAATGCCACCCGGGTCTTCACGCTGCCCAGTGGGTGTGCTGGGCCTGCCAGACTCAGCCTCCAGGGCTCCCTGTGAAACGGGTCGGAGTGAGTTAAGAACAGCAGAGCCAAGTTAAGAGTAGAGGCTTGGAATAGCAAGCCCAAGGGCAAACAGGGCTTTTTCTTGCTGAGGGAAAGCTACTGGTTTTTCTCAAAGGAGGACTTTTCTCAAAGGAGGGCAGCTTGGAGATGCTTCACTTTCTTGCCCCTTCCCCACCCAGTTTCAGTAGTCCAAGGCGGCCTGAAATTCACTATACTGAACTCTATTACATAGCCAAGAATGACCTTTAACTCCGGATCCTCCCGCTTCTACTTCCCACGAAGAACTGCACAACCTCCTGGCGTCTGAGGTGCATGGGTTCGAACCCCGTGCTTTGTGCATGCCGCAGGCTAAACAGGCACTCCTGTCTTTTTAGTCGTGGAGACAGGGGGAAAATGCCGTCAGCAAATATTTAACGAATAAGTAAATACACAATTATAGCCTACAGTGTATGCTCAACAAATATTTATAGGACAACTGCCGGCGTGCAGGGGAATGGCACCAACCAGACAAACTAATTGGTGGAAAGGGGCTCCCAAGCCACCGTCGCCCCATGCCTACCTTGTGCAAAGCGCTTTGCAAACGTGGTGCGTTCTAGTCCCCGCCAACCGGTCTCTCAGATTAAATCCATTTCCCTCCCCGATTGCAACTCAGGCTCCAAGCAGCGGAGTAGCACGCATCAGACAGCTTACAAAGCTGAAAGCGAAGGCGTCACGCGAACTCCATGCCCGACGCTTTACCGTCTCCGCCACAGAGGCCCGCACAGCACAGAATCCGCAGCGGCGCCACAGCGACACGCGCGCGCACACACGCATCCCGTGCTGGGCAACAGGAGCGATGCCCCGCCCCTGCGCACTGGTACGTCCCTACACCCCGCCCCCGCGCTCATGGTACGTCCCACAGGCCACACCCCTTCTCTGTGCAACCATTAAACCCCACCCCTCGGGAGGCCCCGCCCCTCGGGCGCCCCGCCTGCGTAGTTGGTACATTCCTCAAGTTCTTCCACACTTTCAGTTGTTATGTCCCTCACGCCCTGTTCTCCCTGCAGTTATCACACCCGTAATGGCTTGGTGTTCGCACAGTTAGTGGTCTCTTAAGCATCTGTCACGGTTCAATTGGTACATTCCACCCCCACTAGTTGGCATGGCCCTCAGGCCCCGCCTCTGCCCGGCTGGTACTGCACTTGGGCCCCGCCCCCGTCCTGTGGGTTCGTCCTTCTGGCTTCGCCCATTGGTCAAGCCACGTTGACGCTCCGTCCCCTGCGAAGTTGGTTGGTCCCTCAGGCCGCGCCCTACGGATGAAGCCAGGATCCCGACACCACCCAAGCGTCCCACAGGCTCCGCCCCCGCGCAGTCTGTGCGTCCCGCAGGCCCCGCCCTCGCGCAGTCTGTGCGTCCCGCAGGCCCCGCCCTCTTCCGGGTCCCGAGTGCCGGGCCCGCATGGCTGCCGGCAGACTCGTGGGTCCTGGCTCCCGGTCGCGTCCCGCCATGGCGCCGTGGAAGAAGAAGAGGCTGCGGAAACGCCGAACTGGGGCTTCCCAGGCCCGCGACAGCGATTCGGAGGACGGCGAGTTCGAGATCCAGGCTGAGGATGACGCCCGGGCGCGGAAGGTAAGAACGCGGGGTCCCAGGTCGGGCCCTCGGCCTGCGCCCTTCCGCTTGTCCGTCTCACTAATCGCGGGCCCTCATTGGGTCCCTTCGCGTAGGGGGCGGGGTCCACTTTAAGCAGCCAATAGAAAGTGCAAGTGCCTCCTGAGTTTGGGGAGGTCTTGAGTGATAAAATTAAAGGAGATGCCGGACCACTCTGCTGAGAAGCTAGTTTTAAACTAAGCTATTATTTACGGACTCTTGTCGTGCTACAGCTACGCAAGGCTCATCACCACTGTCAGAGGGGACAGCGGGATTGAAACTAGGGACGATCTGGTCCCAGATGTATCCACCTGGGGGGACAGTTATGAGCACCAAGTGGAGCAGAGAAGTCTACCGTTCATGACGCCCATCGTCTTGTGCATAGCGGGTATACCTAGTTCTCCATTTCTTCCCAGCTCAGTCAGTGAACTGCATTCATTAGGTGATCAGTTAAATGTGCAGAAACTGCTAGAGGCAACGAGAACGCGGGTGTTTAGTGACAAATACATGAAGGCTGCTCACGTGGTTTAGACCAAGGGTTTTGCTGAGTCCCAGTCCAGCCAGGCTCCGGCTGTAGTAAGACATAAAGAAGTTGCTTAACTTTTTTACAAGCCTTTGGGACCCTGAATGTAGCTCAGTTGGTAGAGCGCTTGCCTGGCGTGTGCAGAGCGCTGGGTTGGAACGCGGGCACACACCTGTAATCTTAGCTCCCAGGGTAGGAGTGGTGGAGGCGAGAGGATCAGGAGTTCAAGGCCACCCTTGGCTATATAGTGAGCTGGTAAGAGCTATACCACCAATTCTGAATATTTTGCCGTACAAAAACTGTAAAGGCTCCTCCAACCTGGGAAACACATGCTTTTTTTCCTTCATATAAGTTTCGTTTTAATAGTAACATATTTATGGGTAATTTTAGAGTAGAAACACATGCTTATTAAAGATCTGTCACACACCTGATGTAAACACGTCTGGGAGAGCAGCCAAGACCACAGTATACTATTGACCTGGCTTACCCTCCACCAAAAGCGAATAAATAAAAATGAAAAAAAAAAAAACCAAAAAGCAGTATCTTTGTGCAGTCAAATGAAACCAGAATACTGTGCGGGAATGTGTCAACCTAGGATCAGTGAGGACAGCCTTTTTCTTTTTTCTTTCTTCCTTTTTGTTTTTGTTTTGTTTTCGAGAAAGGGTTTCTCTGTGTAGCCCTGGCTGTCCTGGAACTCACTCTGTAGACCAGGCTGGCCTCGAACTCAGAAATCCGCCTGCCTCTGCCTCCCAAGTGCTGGGATTAAAGGCGTGTGCCACCACTGCCCTGCAGGGGACAGCCTTTTTCATTCCTCCCTCCCTCACCTTTAGTTTTGGAAGGGTTAAAGGCCAAACCCCGAGCCCTGTCTGTGCTAGGCATGTCTGTGTCTTTCAAGTAATCGTGGCCTAATTATCTTCAGATCGGGGGTCAGGGGGATCCCTAAGCAGAATGCTTAGAAACTAGTGACAAAAATCCCAGTGAGCTAAATGTAATTGTCAGGAAAGTTGTTTGCCTTATATTTTTTATTTCTTTATTTACTTGTCATATTTTGACTTGAGACAGGGTCTCACTCTGTAGTCCAGGCTGGCCTTGATCTCACAGAGATCCTCCTGCCTTTGCCTCCCGAATGCTGGGGATACTGGGGTGACTGCCATAGCCCATCATATTAGAGCGTCAGGCAGGGTCTTGTGTAGCCCTAAGTAGCCTTGGACTCATGAGGAGACAGGGATGGGTTTGGTCTCTTGATCTTCCTGCTTCCCTAGTGCTAGGATGACAGATGTGTGCCACTGCATTCCTTTCTAAGGCTGGCAAGAAGTTATACAATCACCTCTCTCCGAAGTTTTGGAATCTAAAAGGTACCTGATGAATTCCATCAAAAGGAGTCCAGTGAAGGAACTGGCTCTGGGACCACCCACTTGACATTTCAGGTCTTAGAAGGTGGAGGCAAGAGGGTTGGGGGTGGTCAGAGGGCCAGCCTGGGCACAGGAGACCCTGGTCTGGAAAAAAACAAAAACGAAGCAGACAAGTTATACAAAGAACCATAAAACATTATTTTTAAACCAGAAAACAGATTGAGACATCAGAGAGATGGCCCATCAGAGAGATAGTAGAAACGCCTGCCTGTTAAACCCAACGGCCTGATTTGATCCCTGGAACCTGCCTTACAAAGCTAGGTGTAAAAGCAGATTGGGACTCAGTTCACCCAATTCCCAGGGATCCACCGCCCTCTTGTGGTCTCTTTGGGTACTGCATGCTCGTGGTGCCCATAATCTATGCAGGTGAACCACCAGTCCGTTAAAGTTAAAAAAGCTGGTCGTGGTGGCATGCATCTGTAACCCCAGCCTCCCTAGGGGGAGATGGAAAGTGGAGACAGGAGAATTACTGAGATGCTCACGGACCAGCTATCCAGGAGTGCACCAGTGGCAGAAACGAGAGACCCTGCTTCACCAGGGTAGAGAGAGAGATCTGATTCTTGAAAGTTGGCCGTGGCTACCACGCACTTGGGCTCCCACGCACACGTGCATGCACACATGGAGTAATGATACATCCTAAGAGGACAGCGCAGAAGCATGGAAGATAGCACTGTATTGAAGGAAATGGTCTGTGTCTGTGTTGTTCAGCGTGGTAGCCACCAAACACGGCATCTTAAATGTCTGTGTTCGGCTTGCACCACCAAATCCCTGGTATTTAGTTACAGAATCTGGGTTCCTCTTATTTTTATAGCTACATGACAGTAGGCTTAGCGTCTCTTCTCAGACAGATGAAATAATGAAATAATTTCAAAATGAAAATGAGGAAGGAATAGAAATAGGCCAGGTCTGATGGTCTGTGATTCTGGCTGCGGAAGAGACTGAGGCAGAGGATCACAACTTCAAGGCCAGCCTGGGCTACATGGGGAATTCAGGGCTAGCCTGGACAACTTAGATCTTGTCTCAAAAGTAAAGAGTAAGAAGAGGGCTGGGGATATAGTTCAGGGTTAGAGTGTCGCCTTATGTGCAGGGGCCTGGATTCTGTCCTTGGTATCATGAGAACAACAGAGGCATTTGGTGAGGGAGAGGGAGTGTAAAGAATTTTTATAAGGAATAGGAGTTTGAGACCAGCCTGAGCTACAGAGTGAGTTCCAGGACGGCTGGTACCATGGCCATTCCACAGGCACATCCCAAGCTCACAACTACACATGCATGCACACACACACACACCCCTAAGTCCTCAGCATTTGGCTCTCCTGGCCAAGCCTGGATCTTGACACACCCCACACCCCGAGCTCAGTTTCTAGAAGGTCTTGCTCAGCCTCAGGGTGGTGACTGTACTGGTAATAGGACAGAGCCCAGCTGTCGAGCCCCAGAGCCTCTCTGTAGAGCTAACCTGCACCTCTGCCCCAGGCTGGCCCAAGGAGAGCTGATTAGAGTTACCGAGCGACCAGGCTCCCCACCCTTGTGGTCCGTCAGAGCCGGAGTGACACCGTCTCTTCGTTCCTCCCCCACAGCTGGGCCCTGGCAGAGCCTTGCCCTCATTTCCTACCTCAGAGTGCGTATCGGATGTGGAGCCCGACACCCGGGAGATGGTGCGAGCCCAGAACAAGAAGAAGAAGAAGTCTGGAGGCTTCCAGTCCATGGGTGGGTAACCAGGCTGGGTGGCCGGGGCCCTGGGGGTGGAGGGGGTATCATTGTGCTCTCTCTGCTTAGCCACTGGTCTACCTTAGACCTGGCAGTGTGGCAGGTGTCAAGTAGCCTGAAGCAGTACAGACAGCCTTCCAAGGCAGGCCTGGAAAGGGGCCACCCCTGCAGGCGCAGGAGGTGGCGGGGGCTTCCGTGTTGGATAAGAGGACAGCCTTGAAGAGCTGGCCACGGGATGATGGAGTGTTGTCGGGACACGTGCGTGGGAAGTGCAGCTCAAGTGTTCTGCTCTTGACTGAGTAGTAGCTGCCAGGACAAGGATGGAGGTATCCACTGTATGACTTTTTAATAGTAATAGAAAGGAACTGGGCACGGTGGTGTATGCCAAGGCTACGTAATCAAACCCTGTCTCACAACAAAACAAAAAATACCTGCGGCCCATGGTTATCAGCTACAATATATAAAGAGTTCTTACAAATCAATAAGAAAAGGATAAAAGCCCTGGGAGAATGAAGAAACTGAATAGTCGGCTCACAGAAGTGATGTAGATAGACAGAATAGTCCTTTGTCCTGTAATGCTTGGTGGCTACTATGGCCCCCTTCCCCAGCCCCTGACCTCTCCTATGTCTTTCTCAGGCTTGAGTTACCCTGTATTCAAGGGGATCATGAAAAAGGGCTACAAGGTGCCAACGCCCATCCAGAGAAAGGTAAGGAGCTGGAGGGCGGCCATGAGCACTGGCCGTGGGGTAGCTCTTCCTGGACCCAGCTGTCATCTTGCTCGCCGTCTTCTGTGGCTGAAGCACCACAGGGCTTAGCCATTTCTTGGGGAGAAGGTCGGGTCCAGCAGAGCTGGGGTTTGACCCTGGCTCTCTGCCTCTTGTCATGCTGAGGCTGCCCGGGCAGCACACAAGCACCCTGTGATCACCCAGCACTTGCCTCTAGCTGCGTGGGAGACGAGGTGGAGACCCAGCTTGGGAGGCAGAGTCTCCGAGCACAGGAGTTGGGGATGCTTATTCCTGGAGGTGTACTGATAGGCCTGTGGCTCTCTGTGATAGCCCTCGTGCCCAGCCGTGCTGGGGCCGGAGCTGGCAGTGCCTCCTCTATCCTGTGTCTGACAGACTATCCCCTCTATCCTGTGTCTGACAGACTATC